AGTTGGGTTGGTGAGAATCTTGTGGTAGTCCTGGTTGTAGTTACGTTGGTGAGAATCTTGTGGTAGCGTCCTGGTTGTAGTTACGTTGGTGAGAATCTTTGTGGTAGTTCTGTTGTAGTTGCTGGGGAAGAATCTGTGGGTAGTCCTGGTTGTAGTTGGGTTGGTGAGAATCTGTGGTAGTTCTGGCTAGAAGGTTGGGAAGAATCTTGTGGTAGTCCTGGTTGTAGTGGGTTGGTGAGAATCTGTGGCAGCTGTGGTTGTAGTTACGCTGGTGAGAATCTTGTGGTAGTCCTGGTTGTAGTTACGTTGGTGAGAATCTTGTGGTAGTCCTGGTTGTAGTTGGGTTGGTGAGAATCTTGTGGTAGTCCTGGTTGTAGTTGGGTTGGTAAGAATCTTGTGGTAGTCCTGGTTGTAGTTGGGTTGGTGAGAATCTTGTGGTAGTCCTGGTTGTAGTTGGGTTGGTGAGAATCTTGTGGTAGTCCTGGTTGTAGTTACGTTGGTAAGAATCTTGTGGTAGTCCTGGTTATAATTGGGTTGGTAATTCATTAATATAATTTTCTTCATTATTTAAGCACATATTCAAACACCTGGAAACTTCTCGTGGTCTTAAATAATGAGGAATAGTTTATTATTATACAAATATTACTTTGGATTATTTATTATTTATCCTGACAGTAATGCAGCCGAAAATAGATCCACCAATAACAGTTACATACAGCCTTACTTCACCACGCATTGCCAGGTAAAGTTGTTAGGATGAGAGCCAATGTAGGGGGGATGAACTCCGACTGACTGTACACTATAAATGAGGTACAATATAGGTGAGGTACAATGTAGGTGAGGTACAATGTAGGTGAGATACAGTTGCCTACAGGTACAGTATAGTGTTCCACCCCTCGATAACCTTTCAGAACATGTGACACCGTCGGAATCACTTCATGAATGAATCGGTAACGTGAGGAGAACAGTTGCCAATAACATGTGGGCGGCTGTAGGTGATGACAAGGTTACGTTATGGACATAAGATGGGCGACAGCTGACAGACACTAACCAAAGTTTATAGTAATACTTTCCCTGAGGGTTAAGGCAGCCAGCCAGCCACCCCTCTTGGCTCCAGTTGATGGAAAAAAAATCTTCCAATTCTGATTAAAGTTTGGGCAGTTTTATATACGGAATGTTAAGGGCGTGTCTAATGTGTCGTAAGCTCCTCCCCATGTATAACTTAAGCGATGCCATTGGTTAGTGGTAAAATAATGCTCCCGTGATTGGGTACCTGAAGAGGTGGAGTTTTTCCCACACGGTCTCACAAGAACTGTGTCACAGATAGAAGGTGTCTCTGGGCCTGTGGTTAACTGTCACCGTGCCCTGGGAGGCCGCCCCTCTCACATAATATTGACTCTACTTTCTGTACATAAAACATGTTGTCACTATTGCAAAGGGATGTCATTAATTCTATGACGGTGAGGTACACTGTAGGTGACGGTGAGGTACACTGTAGGTGACGGTGAGGTACACTGTAGGTGACGGTGAGGTACACTGTAGGTGACTGTGAGGTACACTGTAGGTGACTGTGAGGTACACTGTAGGTGACGGTGAGGAACACTGTAGGTGACTGTGAGGTACACTGTAGGTGACTGTGAGGTACACTGTAGGTGACTGTGAGGTACACTGTAGGTGACTGAGGCACACTGCAGTTTTCTGACTCTACCTTACTCATCTGGGTTCTTTACGTGTAGCAGTGGTAAAAGAGACGATTGAACCAACACAATTAAATTAACAAGTTGATCATCACTACAAGACCTAATGTCTAACTAACTCACCAAGAACCCGTCACAGGTCTTATCGTCGTGGGGAATCAACTCAGCTTTACACTATGTTCTGCTTCGTCGCTTCCTTCACCTTCAGAAGCATCATACAGACGGTAGCCCCCTAGCCACTCACACAAGTTCACAACCAAACATAATTTTTTGCGGGGGGTTCCATCACATAGTTACGACCTTGACTACCCGTGGAGGCATCAATCCCACCAATAACAAGGCTGTTTACATGACCTTAAGCCACACCTCGTCTACTATTGGTCAAACTATTGTAGGCGGGGTTTACACAGTGCCAGCCAGGTCTGTTCCGCCCCGCTGACTATAAGATGCATTTTCCTTCGCATTTCGGATATAACGCATTCACGTGACAGGGTGATGTAAACGGAGTCTCATGGTCCCTTCTGTTCTGTGGGCGGGTTGGCAGATGATGTGGGGGAGGTAGGTAGGTGAAAGGTAGGGTGGGGTAGGGCAGGGGAAGGAGACGAGTGGAGGGAGAGGGTTGGGGAAGGGTAGGGAGGTTGAAATCGTCGACGTGTAGAAGGAGTTGGTCATGGAGCAGGGTAGGGAGAGGGTAAGGGAGAGGGGGTAAGGAGAGGGCAAGGAGAGGTAAGAGGGGTAAGGGAGACAGGTGGCAGGGTAAGGGAGAGGGTAAGGGAGAGGGGGTGAGAGGCGAGGGTAAGGAGAGGGTAAGGAGAGGGTAAGGAGGGTAAGGAGAGGGCAAGGAGAGGGTAAGGGGAGAGGGTAAGGGAAGGAGTTGGGGAGGGGGTAAGGAGAGGGTAAGGGAGAGAGGGGTACAGGTGAGGGGAGAGGGTAAGGGGGGGGATAGGGCAAAGAGAGGGAAGGGAGGGTAGAGGGAGGGAGAGAGGGTAAGGGAGGGTAAGGGAGAGGTAAGGGAGAGGGTTGGGGAGAGGGTAGCAGGAGAGGGGTGGCAGGGAGAGGGTAAGGGAGAGGGGAGAGGGGAGGAGAGAGAAGTTGGAGAGAGGGTAAGGGGTAAGGGAGGGAGGGGAGAGGGTAAGGGAAGGGGGAGAGGGGGAAGGGTAAGGGAGGAGGAGGGTAAGGGAGGGTAAGGGCAGGGTAGGGGAGAGGGTATGAGAGGGAAGGGAGAGAGGGAGGGGAGAGGGGAAGGGGAGAGGGTAAGGGAAGAAGGGGGAGAGGGCAAGGAGTAGGGTAGGGGAGAGGAGGAGGAGGGGGGGGTAAGGGAGAGGGAGGGCAAGGGGAGAGGGTAGGGGAGAGAGGGGCAAGGGGAGAGAGGAGAGGGTAAGGGGGAGAGGGTAAGGGGAGAGGGCAATGGGAGAGGGTAAGGGGAGAGGGTAAGGGGAGAGGGGTAAGGGAGAGGCAGGGGGAGAGGGTAAGGGTAGGGGAAGGGCAGAGGGGGAGAGGGTAAGGGGAGAGGGGGTAAGGGAGAGGGGGTAAGGAGAGGGGTAAGGGGGAGGGGGGGGAGAGGGCAAGGAGAGGGGGAGAGGGCAGAGGGGTAGAGGGCAAGAGAGAGGGCAAGGGGGAGGGGGGGTGGAGAGGGCAAGGTGGGAGAGGCCTATTACCCCAGATTCATTGCCTTGAAAGTTCTCTATTGTTATTTTCTCATTTTTGTATAGAAACAACAACAACACCATTATTAGTCTCTGGCACGTGTGTGTGTGTGTGTGTGTGTGTGTGTGTGTGTGTGTGTGTGTGTGTGCGTGCGTGTGTGTGTGTGGCTGTGTGCGTGTCGGATAATCTACAGGGTGGATGAATACCTTGGCCATCACCTACATATATTAGACCGGTGGACAATGGCTGGTCCGGACAAAGACTCATCTATAATCATATAAACAAACTGTAAACACATATCGGGGCAATCACAAAACATCGACTGTAAACACAAACATCAACGTAACTGTAAACACGAATATTAAGGGACTTTGTAAACACAGTATAATAACTCCCCCCACAGATGTTGTTGCTACACTATGACAAACAACATCACGACATAATTATACAAAAAATAAACACAGCTTTTAGACAAGTGTAAACATATACTTGTGACTGTATACAGAGAGTAGATTGCTTGTTGTCCTGTCACTCTGATGGTAATTGTAAACACACTTACTCTCATCACAGTGCAGTTGAACGTCTTTGTGGCACTGTGTGTGTGAGGGGTGGTAGTGTCACGTTCCAGAGGCCAGATATTGCCACTCCCCCTCCCGCTTCCTGTTGGTGTTAACGAGTGCCAACCATAACCACCCCGCAGCTGACCACTTCCCTGTTGGGGTGCCACTGTGGGTTGTGCCGCCGCTGACGCCATTATTACAGTATAGCGGACCTGCTTACCCGGTGATAGAGCTGCCCAGGGCCTCTACTACTGATGGCAGATCCAGAGGTTGTTATTTCCCAGCGGAGGGGTGGATGGTGTCGCTACCCTGTGATGGTCGGTGTTATCTGAGGTGTTTTTTGTGTAGGTAGCGGAGCCTTACTGGGTGTACCTCCCGTAGTGTAGTGTAGATGATCTCTGTACTGCTGGAGGTATATCTTATCTTTTGTTCGTTTCCTCCCTCTGCCATCATCCATCTACCACCCACACTACCTCCCTCCTCTGGGAAATAACACAGTAGGGTGAGTGGCAGGCCTCCGTGTCTCTCCCTCACACACCAACACTTATCCTGTGAGTGTCAGTGACAACACCCACAGGACGGAGGACACCTGTCTCTTGCCCCCAGAGAGTTCATGTCATCGTCTTCAGGCAGTTTAGGTTTCTGGCTACGGGACCTCACCTGCTGCCTGGGCTCACCTGTTGGTTAATAGTCTCCTCACGACCATCCAGGTGTTAGTAGCACCTGTTGAGTGGTGAGACGGCGGTGTGGTGAAGCCTTACCTTATATACACAGACAGACAGACAGTAGGTGTTGGGATGAACTGTTTGGATCATAATAAGCCGTGGCTGAGTGGATATAGTTTTCACTCCCTACTCTAAGAAACGCTGGTTTGTGTTCACCCAGCAGTAAGGGGGTACCTAACTTTACCGTTGGGGAGGTGAAGATGGTTAAGTGCAGTGCTGACAGTATGGAAGGTCAGTATCCATGGAGCGTTATAATGGTGGTAAGTGTTAGTTGTACTTTGTTAAGCTGAAGTAAAGCTTGGCTCAACTCTCTCTCTCTCTCTCTCTCTCTCTCTCTCTCTCTCTCAATAAGGACAAGAAGTAAACAACAGTAAGAGACAAACATTTATTACAAGAACATCGACACAAGGCAGTGGCGGCCACCTGTTACAAGCTGAGGGAACTATACTAGAGAGCTGACAGTGTGGCCCACGGCTGTGTGGCCCATTAATGTGTGGTCCTTGATTGTGTGGCCTGTGGCTGTTGGCCATGGTTGTCTGGTCCGTGGCTGTGGCTTGATGTGTGGTCCGTGGCTGCGTGGCCTGTTGATGTGTGGTTCTTGATTGTGTGGCCTTTGGTTGTGGCCCGTTGATGTATGGTCCATGGCTGTGTGGCCTATAGTTGTGGCCCGTTGTTGTGTAGCCTTTGGTTTTGTAGCATGTGGTTGTGGCCCGTTGATGTGTCTTCCGTGGCCTGTGGTTGTGGCCCGTTGATGTGTGTTACATGGTTGTGTGGCCTGGGGTTGTGGCCCGTTGATGTGTGTTCCGTGACTGTGTGGCCTGGGGTTGTGGTCCGTTGATATGTGGTCCGTGGCTGTGTGGCCCACGACTGTGTGGCCTGGGATTGTTGTCCATGCCTGTGTGGCCCATATCTGTATGCCCCGCTGATGTGTGGCCTGTGCTTGTGGCCTATGGCTGTGTGGCCCATGACTGTGTGGCCTTTGGTTGTGTGGTCCATGGCTGTGGTCCTTGTGTGGCCTGTGCTTGTAGCCCATGGCTGTGGTCCTTGTGTGGCCTGTGGTTGTGGCCCGTGGCAGTGTAGGACGTGGTTCTGTGGCCCATGGCTGTGTGGCTTGTAGTTGTGTGACCCGTGACTATGTGGCCCATGGCAATGTGGCCATGGCTGTGTGGCCCATGTCTGTGTGACCCATGGCTGTGTGGCCCTTGCCTGTGTGACCCATGACAGTGTGGCCCATGGTTCTGTGACTCGTAACTGTGTGGCCCATGACAATGTGGCCATCGCTGTGTTGTCCTTGTCTGTGTGGCCCGTGGCTATGTGACCCATGACTGTGTCATCAGTAGTTGTGTGGCCCATGTCTGTGTGACCCATGGCTGTGTGGTCCTTGGTTGTATGCCCTTTGGTCGTGTGGCACAGTTGTGGCCCATGATCTGTATAGCGTATGGCTGCTACGGTCTCCGCCTTAAACCTACAATTGGACACACTCACTCTAAGCCACACCCACACAGGGCCACATGCTCACTGTACCACACTCACCCAGGGCCACACGCAGCCAGAGCTATGGCCATACCCACACTGGGCCACACTCGCAGGGCCACACCGACAATGGGCAACACCTCAGGTGGTGGTTCATTAAGAATATGATATGACAAATTATCTAACTACAGGCAATATAAACATCACCACAGCTTAACGTCATCATCAGAGCTTTATGTTTTAACCACAGCTTAACCTCTTAACCACAGCTTGACTTCGTCTCTACCACATTTTGACTTCGTCTGCACCACAGCTTGACTACGTCTTCACCACAGTTTGACGTTGTCTCTACCACAGCTTGACATCGTCTTCACCACTGCTTGACGTCGCCTTCACAGCTTGATGTCGTCTTCACCACAGCTTGACGTCGTCACCACAAAAGCTTGATGCTTGCGCCATAGCTTTATGTCCCCAACACAGCTTGACTGTCCTCGTAACTGTGTCCTCGTTAAGTGTCCTTGTATGTGTCCTCCTAACCATGTCCTCGTAAGATGTCCTTGTAACTTTGTCCTCGTAACTACAGTATGTCCTCGTAACTATGTCCTCGTAACTGTCCTCGTAACTGTCCTCGTAACTATGTCCTCGTAACGCCATCACTGTCAGACATTTTGATTAGCACGTTTAATGTGTGATCGCTATACATATATAAAACACTGTTAACGTCAACGCTTATCCCTGTATGAATATCATGGCTCTCTCAACGCCACCACTCTCAACGCTGTCACTGAGAAACATTATTCATCAACGCATTAATGTCTCAGCTCCATTTTTCTCAAACACTAACATCGACGCCATTACTATCTCAACGCAAATACTGTCTCAATGGCATTAGTGTCAGCGCCATTACTGTCTCAACGCCATTACTGTCAACGCCATTGTTGTCTCAGCGCCATTACTGTCGCACGCCACTACACGACACTATCACAGTTATGTAACATTTGACTTATGCAACACACAGACCCGCGTGTTGCGCCACAAGGCTGGCAGCGAAGGTGGCACTTAGTGGCACTCACACGGGTCCGCAGCTGGAGGAAGTTGGCGCCCACACTGTAGTCGAGCTAGGAAATTGGCACCAGCGGGTAAAGGAGGCACCGATAGGCCTTGTAGATGACGTAGATGGCACCTGTAGGCCTAGTGGGTGACGGGTGGCGCCCACTAGGCCTTGTAGATGACGTAAGAGACACCTATAGGCCTAGTGGGTGACAGATGGCACCCATAGACCATGTAGATGACGTAGAAGATACCCATAGGGCTAGTAGTTGACGTAGTAGACACTCATAGGCCTTGTAGATGGCGTAGGAAATACCCATAGGCCTTGTAGATGACGTAGGTGGCACCCATAGGCCTAGGGGTGACGGGTGGTACCCATAGGCCTAGTGGATGACGAAGTTGGCACTACTGGATGACCTAAATGGCACCGTTAGGTAGGCCTAGGAATATAGCAGAGGTTGAGGGTGGCACTCGGGGGGGGGTTGTCAGGGCAGTAAGGTGAAGGTGCACAGTAAGACGCAGCAAAGGGAGAAACTGTGGGTGAGGTGGTGGTGGTGGTGATGTCCTTCGGCGGCGTTGCCAGCGGCGACGGAATGAGCGGCGGCGGTGACGTTGAGGTGGATGAGGGCGGCGTCGGCGCTCTTCTCATTGGCGGCCACTACTACCCAGCCGCCCTCGTCGCTGGCTCTCACGCCCACGATGGTCAACACTGTGTACTGGCACCACGCTGCCTCCCCCGTCTGTGTGTGGGGTGAAGGGGGGGGGGTTAGTTATGATTGTCTCTTATTATCTATCAGTGTATGTCTATCTATTTCTGTATATCCTACCAATATAGATGAGTATAACACACACACACACACACACACACACTCACCGTGAGGTTGTGGGCGTGGAACCTGTCCGCGGTGTGGCCGGGTCTGAGAGGCGGCAGGTGTTGGGGCGGCAGCCAGATGACGGAGGTGAGAGGTGGGCGGCTACACACCTGGGCGGCGAGGGCGGTGGTCCGGCCACCCATGGACAGCACAGTGGAGTTAACCGCCACGACCAACACACCACCTGGCGGGGAGAAGGACATGGTGATGCTTCAGCTGGTTCACACACACACACACACATGGATTCTTAAGGCGCCTTACAACAGATAGTTTAAGTGGGGGAAGATTGCGTCATAGCACTGATATTCTCCGTCCGTCCGTCCGTCTATCCAACCGTCCACGACAAAGGTATACTCCCCTTAAGACCTTCTCAGACTCGACACCAACTGGATTGATCAATTTTGGTGTGAAGGTGTCCAGCCTACCACACCACCCTCAGGTGCCGCTTGCTGTACGGTGCGTCAAGTCTCCGGGGTGGAACACTTTTTACATGGTAGATAGATAGATAGATAGGTAGATAGATAGTTTGTGGTGGCTATTAAGACAGGTATGAGCTGGAGTGGTTCGTCCCGAGGTCTTGTTCACATAGACTGTCAATGAAGGACAAATCACATTGTTCTCATTATAGGTGAAGTCACTATCGTTCTTCCTTCCCGCCGCTTATGACCAAAATACAAACCTTTCACGATGGTTAAGTATGTCGCCACAACTACTCTCCGTAACCTGTTGTCCAGAACTTCTGTGAATTAGCCTAGTTAGCCCACCCACCCTTGTCTATTGTGTCGGACAGGTGAGTTTGATGACCCAATGTACGTCGTCAGTGTATCTACCTGAAGGGAAATAAGAGATAGATTGACAGATAGAAATATAGATAAACAAACAGACAGACAGACAGATAGAATTAATTAAGTAATGTAGGTATATCCAGGGGGTAAGAGAGTTAATCAGTTTACCTGTGGAGGTAGCGTCAGCGTCTAGGGAGGAGTTGTGAGGTAGACAAAGTTGGCGACCATCTCCCTCACCCGACGTCTTTCTTAACAGCTGTGGCGTGTGTGATGATACCCCTGATGACCTGCCCTCACCTGTAACACGATCACACCTGTTAGTATACCTGTACACCTGCCCACACCTGTAACACGATCACACCTGTATACCTGTCCTCACATGTAACACGATCACACCTGTATACCTGTCCTCACATCTGTCACACCTGTTAGTATACCTGTACACCTGCCCACACCTGTAACACGATCACACCTGTATACCTGTCCTCACATGTAACACGATCACACCTGTTAGTATACCTGTACACCTGCCCACACCTATAACACGTCCACACCTGTTGTTCTTTATACCGTTAACAGGGCAATGAAGCCGTTGTTATATAGCTGTGAACCGTTGTCAGGTATACTGTTACATGCAGGTGTAGAGCGTTTATTGTTTAGTCAATGTGTAGAGCGTGGCAATAACTCCCTCTCTCTACATGGTGCTAAATGACCTGTGGTACTACAAGCTACAGTGGTACTATTGTGGTACTACATAACTACCATGGTACTACATAAACTGTGCTGTTACAATGGTACCCTATTAACTGTAGTACTATTGTGTTACTACATAAACTGAAGTATTACTGTGATGCTACATAAACTGTGGTACTACAATGGTACCCTATAAACTGTAGTACTATTATGGCACTACATAAACTGAAGTATTACTGTGATGCTACATAAACTGTGGTACTACAATGGTACCCTATAAACTATGGTACTCACCCAGAACATTGATAAAGACAGAGTGGGAGGCGAAGTGACCAAAGGCATGACTGGTGGCGCACTTGTACCAGCCTCTGTCATCACTGCTGGCCCTGGTCAGGTTAAGCCACTCCCCTGATGACACCACCTCGGTTGACCCACCTTCACCCTCTGCTAACACAGGTCACGACAGGTTCAGGGAGAAACATCACATGGGGTCATTATAGGAGGTCACTGAGATAAGGTCATATTAGGTTAAGCTAAGATAAATGTCCTATGGTTGAATTTTGACCTGGGTTTAAAGCTTTATTATTGACCTATGACCTAGGACAAGAGTTTCATAACAGATCTCTGAAGGGAGGTCAGGAATTTTATTACTCAACTGTAACCTGAGATGTAAGCCTGATAAGTGACCTCTGATCTAATATATACAAGTGACCTCTGACCTAATATATACAAATGACCTCTGACCTAATATATACAAATGACCTCTGACCTAATATGAACAGTATAATATCAACAGTTGACCTAAATGATGGAAGTGATACATGACCTTGGAGAAGACTGACCTTTGACCCAGGTGGGGCTAGAGGAGGGGTTGGCATCCACGTGACACAGGAGGGAGACACTGCTACCCTCCCTCACAGGTGAACCCCACGCTGGCCACCTACGTAACCGGAAGTCTGGCGCGTCTGTTAGGGGAGGGGCAGTGTAGACCAGTGTTAGACATAGACAGACAGACAGACAGACACAGAAAGACACAAACACACACACACACCACTGCAGAGAGAGAGAGAGAGAGAGAGAGAGAGAGAGAGAGCATCAGCATCGTCCCCCTTGCGGTGTAACTCAACACCTGCCTCCCCACAGAGACAGGTGTCGTGTTGCACCTGTAATATCATCACCTCCACCCCGAGCAGAAAAATATTGACCGAAGGCTGTGCAATATCCGGCTTGTAATTGCAATATCTGGGTGTAAATTGCAACATTCTGGTATAAATAGCAATATGTGGGTAGAAATTGCAATATGTGGGTCTAAATAGCATTATGTGGGTTATACAATATGGGTATAAATAGCAGTATGTGGGTATATAGCAGTATGTGGGTATAAATAACAATATGTGGGTATAAATAACAATATGTGGGTATAAATAACAATATGTGGGTATAAATAACAATATGTGGGTATAAATATCAATATGTGGGTATAAATAACAATAGGTGGGTATAAATAACAATAGGTGGGTATAAATAACAATATGTGGGTATAAATAACAATAGGTGGTGGACGAGTGGAACAAGCTTAGCAACTTTGTAGTAAGTGCTGGAACGCTGGAAAGTTTCAAAAGGAGGCTAGATAGATTCATGGATGATAGAGAGTGGTAGTAACTCTCGACAGGAGCTGCCATGCACAGGCCAACCGGCCTATTGCAGACTCCTTATTTTCTTATGTTCTTATGTTCTTAAATAATACAATGTGGGTGATCTGCAGTAAAGCTTGAACCTGAAAGTTGCGTCATGTAAGTTAATTTTCTCCTAACCTAACCTAACCTAACCTAACCTAACCTAACCTAACGTACTCCTAACCTAACCTAACCTAACCTAACCTAACGTACTCCTAACCTAACCTAACCTACTCCCAACATGACCTTTATCTATCTCCCCCCAAACCTACTTTAACCTGACTTCACTTACCCCGACGCAACGTAACTTACACTAAACTTAACCTAACCCTATTATGTACGCGTTTCCCATAGGTCTGACAGCCCATTAGGTTAGGTTAGGTTAGGTTAGGTTAGGGCACGATAGGTTAGGTTAGGTTAGGAATAATGTGGATACAACACAGTTTAGACTAAGATTTCCTATCGGTACAGAAGGAGGCAGCAGCTTAACCGACACTGTACTCGACCGCCTTCACTTCACAAACTGTAGAGTACTGACACACACACACACACACACACACACACACACACACACACACACACACAGCATGATGACAATACCCTCTCACCTCCGTCAAGGGTACAAACAGGTGTGAAGAATGACTTTGTTTTTGTGAGGGAACGAACGAGAGAGAGAGAGAGAGAGAGAGAGAGAGAGAGAGAGAGAGAGAGAGAGACACGGCTGTATATAACATTGTCATAGCACTTACTGTTATGTGTGTGTTATTAAGGTCGTAATTTCACACGTAATACTTAATGTTATGTTATGATGTATATTGTTGTGATCCACCCAGCTGTCGTTGTTATAGGTCTGACGTAATAACAGTGTAATTATTGTTATTATTTGAGTGTGAGGTAATAACAGTGTAATTATTGTTGTTATTATTTGCGTGTGAGGTAATAACAGTGTAATTATTGTTATTATCACTATACTGTGAGGTAATAAGGGTGTAATTATCACCGTCATGTTATATGAGTTGGGTATTACCAGTGACATTATCATTATAGCACTTTCTTGCCTCGTGCTAAATTCTATATAAAGTACACGCAGGGACTTAATTATCTCTCTCTCTCTCTCCTCCCTTTTCTCCTTTTCTCCATTTTTTCTTCTTTTTCATTGTTATTAAAGGTAAATTTTATACGTCAGGTGTGTGGTGGTGGCTGGGATGTGTGGTGGTGTGGCTGGGATGTGGTGGTGGCTGATGTGGTGGTGTGGCTGGGATGTGTGGTGGTGTGGCTGGGATGTGTGGTGGTGTGGCTGGGATGTGTTGTGATGTGGCTAGGATGTGTGGTAGTGTGGCTAGAATGTGTGATGATGTGGCTGAGATATGTTAGGAGGTCAGGATGTGTGGTGGCGTGGCCGAAATGTGCAAGAATGTGTTGTGATGTGGCAAGGATGTGTTATGTTTTGGCTAGGGTGTGTTGTGGTGCAGCTGAGATGGGTGAGGATATATTGTGGTATAACTAGGATGTGTAGTGACGTAGCTGAGATGTGACTAGGATGTGTGGTGACGTAGCTGAGATGTGTGGCTGGGATGTGTAGTGACATAGCTGAGATGTGACTAGGATGTGTGGTGACGTAGCTGAGATGTGTGGCTGGGATGTGTAGTGACGTAGCTGGGATGTGTGGTGATGTGTGGGTACGGCACATCCTCCGTGTAATACCGTCATGGGTCGCTGCCTCAGGTACAGATCTCCCAGGGAAGTTAGATGTTGAGTTTAATTCACCGTAAGATGTGAGACTGAGACGAAAATGGCCCATAAAGTACCCCCCAGACTCGACTTTTGTTCAATATGGCGGCAAAAATTATCCCCAGACTCGACTTTGTTCCCAATATGGCGGCCAAAGTGCCCCCCCGACTCGACGTTTGTTCCAATATGGCGTAGAAATTATCCCCCAGACTCGACTTTTGTTCCAATATGGCGGCCAAATTACCCCAGACTCGACTTTTGTTCCCAATATGGCGTAAAAATTACTGACTCTACTTTTGTTCCAATATGGCGGCCAAAATTACCCCCAGACTCGACTTTTGTTCCAATGGCGGCCAAATTACCCCCAGACTCGACTTTTGTTCCAATATGGCGGCCAAAATTACCCCCAGACTCGACTTTTGTTCCAATATGGCGGCCAAAATTACCCCCGACTCTACTTTTGTTCCAATATGGCGGCCAAAATTACCCTAGACTCGACTTTTGTTCCAATATGGCGGCCAAAATTACCCCCCAGACTCGACTTTTGTTCCAATATGGCGTCGATTTTGATATTAGACTCGACTATAAACACATACGTGCCCAAGTTTGAGTGACTGACTGACCGACTGCTTGGTTAAATGACTGACTGACCGACTGACCCTAAAACTATCACTATAAGACTGTATATCATCTCAGGTTAATAGTCTTATATCTGCTATAACAACAACAAGGTGTTATAAGCCTCAGGTAACACAATCTCTTTCTTAACCCTAACCTGATCTGGCTGTCCAAAATGGCGGCCAAATTGTATTAATGAGTTCTCTTATAGCGAGTTAGTGGAGGAAAAATAATATATGTCTCTCTCTCTCTCTCTCTCTCTCTCTCTCTCTCTCTCTCAAATGACTGCACCGTATCTTTCTGTTCCCCATTGTGCCACACCCTCCGTCCCTCCCTCACCCTCCCTCCCTCCGTCCGTCCCTCACCTTCCCTCCCTCACCGTCCCTCCCTCACCGTCCCTCCCTCAGCTCAGCAGCTAAGAGTATTATCCGTCACGTGACTCATAATGAAATCAGCTCTTAGCGTGAGACCGATGATTCATTAGCTGTTTAAAGACCATGACCAGCCAGGGGTGTAGCTGTCTGTCTGTCTGTCTGATACTAGGCTGTCTGTCTGTCTCTGTCTGTCTCTCTGTCTGTCTGTCTGTCTGTCTGTCTGTCTGTCTGTCTGTCTGTCTGTCTGTGCTTGTACACTTAAAATATACACACACATCAACACACATAATGAACACCATTAAATATATACTGGGAGGTGATGAGAGATATAGGAAAACGTTGAGAAATACTGGAGATTTGGGGAGACACTAAGAGATACTGAGAGATAGGAAGAGACACATTAAGAGATACTCACTATTTAGCCTGAGAGGTACTGGTATGGGTACTGAGACATATTGAGAGATAATAAGACACTGGAAGATACTAAGGGTGTGTCCCATGTGCGGCATCAAGCGACCACACAGGAGTAAACGCGTTACCTTGGTGTAGCGGACAAACATATGTGTTTTCTTTGATGTGTCCCTTGTAGCGCGTGAAGCGTTCGTGAGCGACCAGGAGGCGGGAACTAGACACGTGACCTGGAAGCAGTGATCAAATATTTTGATTGTCGCTTCTTCAGTCACGCGAGACCTCACATTCTACGCCAAAACTAAAGAAGGCAATACCTTCATTTTCCACTGTTAACAGCTTCATCTTACCAAGAAATAGATCCTTGTGGAATATTAAAGTAGCGGCAAAATGTTTCACTCACATTCTTTACACAAGAATGTGAAGCATTGTTTATTCTAGAGGGCGCTGTGTTATTCTCAACAGTACATTCTTGAATTGCATATGACATTGCGTCCAGACCCTCTGTGTCAATGATGATGAGAGGGAAAAGTGTAGCACACTGTACAATGTCAACAGCAGCCTTGTTTTAATATCTTTATTTAAAATTGTCCGATTGCACAAACTCCAACTGTACACTCTACAACACGCCTGGCACTTGACGATCTGTAATCAAATTCTCTTTTCTTTCTTGACAGTATTCCTAGGAGAGGGTTCCAACACATATACACAGAGTGGGTAGGCCTCGTCCCCAGTCAGAATACATTCTGGTGTACTCGTGAAACTTCTTTGGATCTTGGCGAAGTTCCTTGTAGAGATGGTGAGATTCTCCGACTTCCATCCTTTTGGGAAGCATTATTTTCTAAACGTACCAGCAAACGCCTGTGTTGTATAGACAGCATGTTTACGTTGGCAAGACGCTGCAGGGCAGGTGGGACGCAGGTCGCCTTGGGAAGTAGGTCGCGCGTCTACGCCCTGGTCTCTCGATGCCGCCGCAGGACGCTCGCACATGGAACATAGCCTAAGAGACACTAAGAGACACAGAGAAACACTTCAGAGATACTCACACTCAATATTCAGCCTGAGAGGTACTGGTATGGGTACTGGTAATGACGGGTGACGCACCACACAGGCTACGGTCGTGTTGTGGTTCTTCTTGTTGACGCTGGAGACCGTCATGTTGCTAACGCTATAGAACACGCCCTCACCCGCCCGCCACTCTGACCGTATCTGCCATGGTGATGGTAATGGTGTTAATAGTAGTAATGGTAATAATTGTAATAGTCATACTAATAGTGGTCGTAATAATAATAATAATAATAATAATAACAAAAACAGCCGTATCAACAATAATAATAATAATAATAATAATAATAATAATAATAATAATAATAATAATAATAATGAAAACAGTATGGTAATGAATTAAGCGTATAGAGGGAATAATAAATAGAACGATAAATAATAAGAAATAAAAGATAAATAGGTGGAAGGGTTCAATAAATATAAATAATGAGATAAAGAAATTGTCTCTATTTTTTCTATTTTACACACACACACACACACACACACACACACACACACACACACACACACACACACACACAGAGGTACAGGCCTGTTCACTTCACCTGTTGGTCGCATCATTGATTACATTAACCAGAGGAATTAAACTTATCGCTGTGAACTGTTTGTACACTGATGGTTACATAGTTATTTAAGTCTCAGGTGTACAGCGGTAATGGTCTTGTGTGTGTGTGTGTGTGTGTGTGTGAATTAGCAGAGAGCCACTGTTCATTAATTATACCTTAGTCTGTCTGTCTCTGTGTCTTTTTCATTTGTCTGTCTGTCTGTTTGTCTTTCTCACACACACACACACACACACACACACACACACACACACACACACACACACACACACACACACACACACACACACACACTGCAGAGTCAGTATTCATTATTCAGGCGTCTTCCTCACCTTGACATTCAAGACGTGAGACTGTAACATCATACTTGCCTGATGAGGGAGGGACGGGGGGAGAGATTGAGCTGGGTGGGTGTTGAAAGAAGGGAGGGCGAGAGGGAGCAACTGTGGTTGAATGGAGGGAAGGAGAGAGGGAGGGAAGGAGCATCTGTGGCTGAATGGAGGGAGGGTGGGAGGGAGGGAGAGACAGATTGTTCTGGGCAGGTGGGTGGAAGAAGAGAGAGAAGATAGGCGGGAGGAAGGAAGGAAGAGATTGAGGTGGTAGGGAGAAGTAACTCACCTGGGTGGAGGGAGTGACGTCCTCATCAGCCAGGAGCCAGGTGATGGAGGGGGCTGGGTTGCCTCCCTCCACTACACAATGGAGGGTAATAGAGTTGCCCTCCCTAGTGGTGAGGCGGGCGTCGAGGGCCAGCTGTGCACCCCCGTACATCAGGTAGGGCCGCTCAGGTGGTACTGTAGGGGAGGCAGATAGAGAGATACAGGTGAAGTGACAGACCAGTGGAGTGTACAGAGATAAATTGATTTTCTGACTGACACACACACACACACACACACACACACACACACACACACACACACACACAGACACACGGGCGCACACACCTCAGTTTGTTGAATCAGTACCAAACTCGGCCGTCCACATGAGCTCGTCAGAATGAAATATCATCCCTTGACTGTGTGTGTGTTAGGGGGCTGGACTCACCGTGGGGGAATAAAGTTAGGTTAGGGCACGATAGGTTAAGTTAGGTTAGATTAAGGTTAGATTAGGTTAGCTTGGTCACCTCACAACCAGGGTACAGGTGCCGGACCCATACAAGTCACTCCTTCAGACCAGGTGTGTTGACCCCGTGGAGGACGTGTCAGTAACATGTTCTGGTTCTGGAGGAGGAGGAGGAGTGGGGGTCATGTGTCAAGGAGGAAGGCGCTGATGCACCTTAGGTTTTATGGTTCTAGACCTTCCATAAAAGTTAAGGTTGTTAAGCTGAGGAGAAGTAGATTATTTCTGTGGGTCCTTCAAACATGAGCGTCTTGGAGATTTCTCGCTAAAATAATGATAAATCGTACGTCACAGTTTAGAGAAGCTAATTGTACTAAAAATTACACCATATAGGACCTGTTTTACCTCCACGATCTGCTCTTATTAAGTTAATTATCAGTGACATAATTTTTTGAACAATGCCCAGAGCTTGAAGTTTTCCTTGCTGCCACGGGCCACGATAGACTGATCTAGATCACTGAGAGAGTTTCAGATCTTGCACTTAAATCAACCAAGTTCTTTTGACACGTTTTTCTGAAATTCCGAGATGATGTCAAACTCTTTACCATATTCTGGATGGGTTCTTGGAGCAACTTCATCCCAATAATAAGCGGCGCTACGATCTCTACTGAGTGAGAGTTGGACCAAAACTCCTGACTCCAACCAGACAAGATTTACACCTCTACATTTAAGATATTTCGCTTCACACTTGAGAACCACTTTAATCAGACAGAAGGCGCCAAGCACAGGGGATAAATTTGAACGTATGAGCTGGAATTCCTGGACAATACACTCTCTCGTAACAGTGCATGGGGGGTGTCACCGTTTAGTCGAGGTGTGACAGGAACTCTTGGGCATGTCTCCTGGTAGAGTAGACAGTGTGGCCGGATGGGGAGGTACTGGCGAGGTTTTCACTGGTGTGGTCACAGAATTGCTCGCACTCCATGATACCTGTGCTCGGGGAGGAAGTAAAATCTCATTCGAATGGACTTTACTGAGACCCAAACGCGAGAGTGACCATGTAGTAATGTCATACAGTTTGGATCTGACTCCGTCGTTTGAGGAGTAAGTTTGACCCCCAAGTATAAAATATTCTGGTAGATCAGGTCGTCGGATTGGTTCATGGAATTCACGAAGGACCTGACAGGGTAAGAGTGTCTTGATTGCGGTCTGTGAGTCACTCCAGGTCTGGTTTGCATGTTGATGTCGTGGGTTGGTCTGGAACGAGGGCAGTTACAATATTATGGTCTATTGGCCTGTCACATTGTCACTTTCATGATGACAGTTGTTGATGGAGGCAGCAATGAACCGAACACAGGACAAGTCGGGTGGGTAAGTGCAGCTGTGTTACGGTTAATCAATACTGTGAGTGAAGTCATGCGGTCCGGGTGTAGTCACAGTTCGTCATCAATTATGCACAGTAATTCTTGGTTGAAACTTTTAGTGAGGACTCAACATAAAACTTCATGAGATACTTCACACAAATTTGTGACTTTGATACACATAAAGTTAAGAAGTGTCTAGTTTGTGTATTTCTGATGACACTCGCACTTAACATGGCAGACATAGTTATCACCAGAGATTGTTATGAGCCTCTGCGACATTTGATCGTTGTTGGTGTCGACCGCATCTAGAATTCGTGTTTGAAGAAGTAGTTTTTATGTGGGAGTCTGATCAGCATATCATACATTTTGTTACATCGACACCTGGCCCTCATAAGAACCATTGTTATTTTCATTATCTCCATCGTAAACAACAAACTTTGGAAAAATACAGTTTATTATTAATGATATATCAATAGTTGTTCCTGGGTGCATTAGGGGAGGGGGAGGGGGGGGGGGTCAGTATCCACGAGAAAGACATTGAATCATCTTATCTCCGCAAATATATCACGTATCGATGGCGGCCATTGTGAATTTATACCGGTTAGAGGGAGTTAAATGTCATATTTTATTCTTCCACCTGACTCCTCGACCCATAGACGAACTACCGGACTATATATCTATGTTAACTGTTTCGAGACTCCTGCCTTGTCTAGAGTGTGGTGACTCTAAGGGTTGGGTTCCATTTCTGTGAACCTGGTACCATGATAACCCACCCATAATGGGACCTGAGGTACAAGGGGTAAAGTTCGGGTGTTGTGTAGACAGACTCTGTGAAGGTCTTTAGCTAATATGGAAGCTCCGAATGTGATATTAGGCAGCTACGCGTCTAAACATTTTGACTGAATAAACTGAAAGTGAATTAACATGAATTAAGACCAAATTTGGCTGTTTTTTAGAGCATTAATGCAAAATTGTGAGTGTCCAACCGCTTTAACTTCTGGTGCAGCTCCTATAAGTAAAACAGATGATATATGGTGTAATTTTTAAGCACATTTGGCTTCCTTAAACTATGACGTATACAATTGATAATTTTTTAGCGAAAAATTTACGAAGCTTGACAACCTGATTTATAAAACCTAAGGCACATCAGCGCCTCCCTCCTGACCGCCCCCCCTCCATGGAGCCAGGACTGAGAGTGCATCAGCAGCTAGTGGTGCCTGATGCGGGAAGGCACTGTGCCAGAGGAGGTCGACCCATGACCGCTAAGAGGGTGTGAGGACCCTACCAGCTGACACTCTTACATCACCCTATCAAGACTGTGTTGTGTTAAACCCCGGACATGATCCTTTCAACGTGGCGTGAACCAGGGACCTGTAGGATATGAGGCGAGGGCTGTATCCACTCGGCCACTGCTCCTTACCTCACGCACATACTAGACCACATATAATACACGCCACCGGACTCACCACACACACACACACACACACACACACACACACACACACACACACACACACACACACACACACACACACACACACACACACACACACACACGAGGTAGTCAGTTCTGGCAGCCAGCTGGGGGTTGTAGCTCACAAATGGTTGGATTAACACCCTTAAATAAGCTTAACTATGTTATAGGGTGTAGGGGGGTGTAGTGTATGGGGTGTAGGAGAAGTGTGGGGAGGGTGTTGGATGGTGTAGTGTATAGGGTGTGGGAGGGTGTTGGATGGTGTAGTGTGTAGGGTGTGGGGGTGTTGGATGGTGTAGTGTATGGGGTGTAGGAGGGTGTAGTGTATGGGGTGTAGGAGGGTGTGGTGTGGGGTGTGGGATAGTGTGGTGTATGGGGTGTGTGGGGAGGGTGTGGTGTATAGGGTGTAGGAGGGTGTAGTGTATGGGTGTGGGAGGGTGTTGGATGGTGTAGTGTATGGGTGTAGGAGGGGTGTAGGAGAGGTGTAGTGTATAGGGTGTAGGATAGTGTAGTGTATAGGGTGTAGTGTATAGGGTGTAGGAGGGTGTAGTGTATGGGGTGTGGGGAGGGTGTTGGATGGTGTAGTGTATAGGGTGTGTGGGGGTGTGGGGAGGGTGTGGTGTGTAGGGTGTGGGAGGGTGTGGGGTGTATAGTGTATAGGGTGTGGGGAGGGGTGTTGGATGGTGTAGTGTTATGGGTGTGGGGAGGGTGTAGGGAGGGTGTAGTGTATAGGGTGTAGGAGGGGTGTTGGATGGTGTGTATAGGGTGTAGGAGGGTGTAGTGTATAGGGTGTGGGGATAGTGTAGTGTATGGGTGTAGAGGATAGTGTGTAGTGTGTAGAGTGTAGTGTGTAGGGTGTAGGAAGGTGTAGTGTATAGGGTGTGAGGAAGTTGTAGTGTATAGGGTGTGAGATAGTGTAGTGTATAGGGTGTGGGGATAGTGTAGTGTATAGGGTGTGGGATGTAGTGTATAGGGTGTAGTGTATGGGTGTAGTGTATGGGGTGTGGTGTATAGGGTGTAGGGGAGGGTGTAGTGTATGGGTGTGGGAGGGTGTGGTGTATGGGTGTAGTGTATAGGGTGTGGGAGGTGTAGTGTATAGGGTGTGGGGATAGTGTGGTGTATGGGGTGTGGGAAGGTGTGTAGTGTGTGGGAGGCTGGAGTAGCCTATATTTATCAGCCTCACCCTTCTGATTTAAGGAATGAAGGAGAGAGAGACAGAGAGGGAGGTGACAGACAGGGAAGGAAGGGAGACAGGAGGGAGGGAAGGACGGTGAGAGATAGGGAGGGATGGGGGAGGTAGGAAGACAGACAGACGGGAGGGAAGGAAGGAGGGAGGGAGGGATGAAGACAGGCAGCTGAGACAGGGATAGAAAGAAGGAGATAGAGAGGAAGGAAGGAATGAAGGATGGAGACAGACAGGGAGGGAGGGAAGGAGAAGACACTTACAAGACAGACAAGGGGAGGGAGGGGGAGGGGGAGGGGAGGAGGGAGGAGGGGAGGGAGGGAGGGAGGGAGGGAGGGAGGGAAGGAAGGAATGGAAGGAGGGAGGGAGGGCAGGGATTATATTAGGTAGGGTCGTTCACTACACTATGGGGCGCCTCTTAATTACTACCTGCTACTATATTACACCACACCCTGATGAAAGGAGGAGAGAGAGAGAGAGAGAGAGAGTGTGTGTGTGTGTGTGTGGCTGTCTGTCTGTCTGTCTGTTAATATAGTGTGACCTGTCTTAACATAGTGTGGCCTGTGTTACATAGTGTGGCCTGTTACATAGTGTGACCTGTCTTAACATAGTGTGGCCTGTTACATAGGGTGACCTCTCTTACATAGTGTGGCCTGTGTATATATTGTGACCTGTCCTAACATAGTGTGGCCTGTGTTGTTACATAGGGTGGCT